ATATTGTAAAGGAACTATTATGTATTCTGTTTCTCCACAGTATAAGCAAAGCAAAAATTTTCATTGGTTAATAGTATCTTTGTCCTACATTATGCCTGCCACAACGTGTACAAATGTTTCACTTTTCTGGGACAGAAGTGGATGGTATAGGTTTCACTTTTAAACCCTGATGTCATACTTAGCGCCTTCAGGATTATACTTCTAGTTACTTGATTTTTTAAAAATTTTGGTTTTGAAGACTTTGAGGGACCAACCAACACTTCCTCTGAGCTGCTGCTATGCAGGGAAAAATTATCTGGAATGCTATCATTTTCCACAGTTGCTGTCAATAATATACCAGGTTCCTTTTTACTCCTACAGTGTCTTCCACGAAGGCTCCTTTTTAATTTATTAATAAATAAAATTTTGCAGCTAATATCTATCTTAAAATATGAAATAAAGAAGTCAAATCACCAAGATTACCCAGATTCAGGTAAATGTATTTGTACAGAGTCCCATCTATGTAGGAAAACATACAGGACATGAACTCAATCGAAACAAGATTGTTTTCTGAATTGTGGAAGGAAGAAGTAATCAGTTTCCAGTCAGCCTAATGGATGGCTAAGAGTTTTAGAAGGTTAACATTTCCTCTGAATTTATTTTCAATTACTAAATATTATTTGGTAATTTTAACAAATTCCTCTCAGTCACTGTTCATATTTCAAGGAGTAATACTTACAGCAGCAAGTAAAACAGCACTGAAAATTCAAGCTGGATTCAATATTATTAATTTATGTCACATATTTCTTTATAACTCAGAAAATTCACCTTCCTATGCCTGGCTTAACAACAGAAAGAATATTTAGAGATTTGTTTTCTCTGAGGAATCTAAACTTAAATTAAGCTTAAAGTGGAAGCTGTGCTTGAATGCCATAATGTTTGACAGGTGTAGCTAAGGGATACAATGAAGAATAAAATTATTCCATCAATAAGGCTGAAATCATGAAAATTACTAAAGTAGTTTTCTTTATAGGCAGTAAAAGGGAAAAAGAGTGTCGTGGTTTAAACCCAGTCAGGTAATTCGTTCGCTCACTTCCCCCCCTTTCTTGCCCTCCCCCTGCTCTCGGAGGGACGGAGAGGAGAATCAAAAGAATGCAACTCCCACGGGTTGAGATAAGAACAGTTTAGTAACTAAGGTATAACACAAATCACTACTGCTACCACCAATGATAATAATGATAAAGGAAATAACAAGGGAAGAGAATACAACACCTCACCACCCGCTGACCGATAACTCGCCCCCCAAGCCCGACCAAGCTCCGACCGATACCTCCTCCAACCCTGCAGTCTCCCAGCCCTTCCGGCTAACTCCCACTTACATCCTGGGCATGACGTGCTGTGGTATGGAATAGCTCTTTGGTCAGTTTGGGTCAGGTGTCCTGTCTCTGCTTCCTCCCAGCTTCCCCTCCTCCCTGGCAGAGCATGAGGCTCACAAAGTCCTTGGCCAAACCAAAACATCTCTTTCAGCTCTGTTCCCGAGCCGAAAGTCAAAACACTGCACTGCACCAGCTACCAAGGAGGAGAAACATGACTGCTACTGCTGAACCCAGGACAAAGAGAAACTGAAAAGATAAAATACAATACTTAAGCTGAGAAATCTATTTTAGACAATTGAGAAATCCATTTTCAAAAATATGTCCTCCTTTCCTAAAGATACTACTGCAGAAACACTTTCCACTAAGGAGTTTTTTGAAAGAATTCCTTCCTCTTTAGAAAATAGTATGAATGAGCCAAGAAATATCCAGAAATGCTTTTGATGGAGCTGGCATTCATTCCCCAAGACAAGATGTCTAATCAAACTGGCATGTGGCTACAAAAAAAACGCATCATTGAACAGTATATATAGAGCGCAATTCACAAAACAACAGCTGTTTCTGTTACAGACAATGCCTTATCAGACTGAGAGAAGCGCATTAGTCTGGGAGAAATAAGAACTGGTAAATCTCAGCCAGTCTTTGGAACAAGTGCCAAGTTTTAGGAAAGGCTTGGTAAACAGGCCTAGGACCTCATGCCACAGTTGCTGCCAGTAAAGGACGTAATTGATAGAGATAACACACTGTTCCACCTTTCCTGCTAAGTCCTGTTCCCAATTCATGCCCTAACGCCAGGACTGGTTTTGATCAGTAAGCTGCAAATCAGCCTTATTTTCTATCTTTAGACTGCAGATATTAAAAAAATTGACAAAATCACTTGCCCCACCACCATCTATTAGTATACGTAGTTATCTGTTACACAAAATCTATATATTTAATACAAAATTTAAGAATTTGTAGAACTGTAGACTGAGGCTGGAAGATGTTTGGTCCAACTCTCTGCACCCTAAATTGGCAAGGCCATCTTAGATCAAGTTGATTACACCACTGAACACTTCACATTAGAAGGGATCTCTGAAAGTCATTTAGTTGAATCCGCTACCTCGAAGCAGAACAACCTTCATAGTTAAGGTTCATGGGTCTTCTCAAGTTGAGTTTTGGATATGTCTGAGGACAGATATTCCACAAGCTCTCAATTCAGTAATGTCTAAACACTCCTGCTGTAAAATACTTCTTTTTCCTTATGTTCAATTGAAATTCTCCCTGCTGAAAACTGTGACTCATCTTCTGACCATCAGCTGTGCTTTTATCAGGAGAGTCTACTCTATCTTCTCTATACCCAACCTTTGAAAAGCAGAAGACAACTAATACATCTCCCTGGAGCCACCACTCCTGAGGGCTGAACAAAGCCGGCTACATCAGCCTTTTCTCATATATCATGTGCCCAGATCCCAAACATCTCAGTGGACTCATGCTGGTCTTATTCTAGTCTCTTAATGTCATTCCTGTATGGGGAAGCCCAAAACTGGGCACGGTGCTCCAGATTCAGCATGGCAGGTCCTGAATAAAGGGGATTAGTCACTTCTCTTGTCCTGCTGGCTGTACTCTAGTATACTTTAATTCAATGTATTTTAGTTTGGAGTGTTTGGGTGAATGTCCATGAGCAGAGGTTACTGAGAAAACAGCTTTTTTTTTAAACCGTAAGATAAAATGAATGTCTAGTACCTCTGTATCTGACTATGATGGAACAAAATCTAGGAAATTAAATTCATGGCTATGTTACTGTCAAGGATAAAAAAAAGATCCTTTTTCCATTTTGGTTTCTAAATTTTTTTCCATTTAGAAACACTTCTGAGAATCTGTAGATTCCTATCAGTGTATGAAACAAGATGCTGACTTTTTTTTTCTTTTTTTTTTAAAGAAAATAACAAGTGTTAGAAAAATATTTAATCACAGAAATGTGAGTCTGCAGGACCTGGTCATCATTCTGCTCAAACAAGTGGGAGAGATAATGTTTAATAGTGAATGCAGGAATACATGAATATAAATTCAAGGCAATTTTCCTCTGTCTTTAAGGCTGATGTAAATATTGGACTTTCACACTACAGCTGATTTTTTTTTTTTTTTTAGTAAAATGGTCACAAAGAAAGAAACAAGTCTGAATCAGTTATGAAATCAGACAGCCTATTTATTTTTTTTTAATTTATAATCATGACTGTATCTGAAACATATTTTGCCAAGAAATGGCAAATAATATTAGTTTTATTAATGAATAATATTAATAATCCTTTAACTTTCATGTGCTGTTATAGGGCGTTTTTAAAAAACAGCAGTTACTGTCAATTGTCATTATGATCAACATTGTTTTTATGACTTTTTGCATATAATGAGCAGTAGCTACAATTTGTGTTTGCAATTGCAATACAGACTTCACCTCCCTGCTAGTCATCAATTTGTTTCGATTCCTTTGGCTGGAAGTGCAAATACTCCGCATACATTAGGGTTTACTACCAACTAAGGAAAATGGATGCCATCTTGGCTGTTAAAATTGGTTTTACAAAGACAAAAATCCTGATTTCCCATCCACAATGTGGGATTTCTTATCATAGTTTTGCTGTTTGCCTTTCAAATGCAGCACTGCAAACACAGCTCAAATAGTGGCATTGGTGGGATATACACAAATAAATACCTTGTAGGTGGCATTCGGGATGTTCTAAAATTAACTTTATACTATGAAAAAATCTGCAAAAGTTCACGTCCTTGGTTTTCTGTTTATTTGTGCCTTTTTATAGGCACCCATGCATCATGACCTATAAATAGTATCTTGACAAACACTCATATAGAACAGGAAAGAGCTCTTTGAGCAGCCTGTAGACATACCATATATACCTAGCTACCTAAGAAGTGCAGTGCAGCTGCATTGAGCTGCTCATTGAGCTACATACAGATGATTGATTTGGAACTTCTCTCCTGTATATATATAACTGATGTTAACAACTCAGAGCACTGTGCAGTTCAGCTACAAACACACAATTATGAAAGTCCTATCACATAGCAGGCAGGGACAATTTCTTGTGTGTTTTCATGCATGGTGCCACAACATTAAACGTGTCCTCAAAGATGTCAAAGAAACATCAGGTGAGTTTACAAGTCATCCCCTACACTGTGCCATAAAACAGATTAGGCTGTCAGCAGCTTAATTTGAGCTGAGAAAAACTGGGAGCATTTTCAGTCCCAAATCACCAGCTATTTTTGTAAAGGTGTTGGATGAAATCTTTAACAAAAACGTTCAGAGGGATCTTAAGCTGAATTGAAGAAATGTGTTCCCATTAATTTCAGTAGTCTTACACAGTTCAGTTCAGATGGCAAGCTCTCCAGAGAGATCCTGTCACTAAAACAAGTTTTTTACAATGATAAAAGTACACATGCATTAAGTTTTTGTAGTCCCTAATGGTGATTTGGCTTGTGGCTAACAGGATGCTTACTTTCATTTTCATCATTAGAATTTGTTATTTAAACATGGAGATGCCTATTACTCAGGCCTTGTTCTGATACTAAGACAAGCTTTTATTTTCTGTTTGCTTGTTTAAAGCTTCAAAATGTGAATATATCCATGAAATGCTTCACTCAGACCATCTCTTGTCACAGGTGGGGAGCATTAACTGACAAAAATGGACAGAAACAGAAGTTCTGGGTAAGTAAATCCTTAGTAGTGGGTTTTGAAGAGAAAGAAACAACCTTTACAACACAGATTATCTAAAAACAACTTCTTTCTTTTAATTCACTCTCTGCATCTATTTTTTTCCTTCACCCTCAATCTCCTTCAGAATTCTATTCCCTTTCTGTCAGCTTATATAATATTGACCTTTGAACTATAGCATCATCTACCTCAATTTCAAAGCCTGTTTTATCCAGTGTCCTACCTATATCTGTGTTTTTTTCCTACATGGTCTTTTCTGTTTTAAATCTTCTACAAACTCTCACATTTTACTCAGATTCCCCTTGAAGACTCAGTTATTTTTGATGCCTGCAAATGAGACTTCATAAAAACAATGCATTACTTGTTAAAAAGTTCGGAAAAGACAAGCTATCTATCTAAACAGCATTGGCAAATGTGATACATATATCAGAAAAAAAAAAAGTCATTTTCGGACATTTAGAGTAAGTCAGTCAAATTTTATTACTCTACTTACAGTTAACAGCTCATCTCATTATTCCTGTGTTCAATAAAGGTAATTTGGAGCTGATGGCAGAAGTCTTTTGGTAGGTAGTTTCACTGACATCTAGGGCAAAACTTTTACAGACTTCATTAGAAACTAAATTGCTCAGTATGCTAATAGCTACCTGAATGGAACTTAATTTATTAAAAGTCAGATTTTTCATATCTTGGGTCTCTCTTTAACAGATTAGTTGTAATTGGAATTTTGACCACTGTTATTTCAATGACTGCTTTCTCCAGCCAACAGTTATGTTACCAAATGATTTTTGTTTCAATATATGTAGCTGCCTTTTAGAAATAGTATTCCATTTTTATTAATCCTGGTTTCAGAACTGAAATTTTGATCAAAACAAAAAGGAACAAATTATTTGAAATCAGAAAAACATGCATTCTGATTCTCAGCTCACCAAATCTGAGAAACTGCTTTTTTAAAAAGAAACTAACAAGAGGTTCTTTCTGCATTTTACACCTGCATTCTTAAATGCTACTTTAAAACTAAATTATTTTCTTCCTTTTTGTTTTTCTTTAGATTGCTGCAAATTCCTGGGGAAAAACTTGGGGAGAAAATGGTTATTTTAGGATTCTACGTGGGCGAAATGAGTGTGATATTGAGAAGCTGATTTTAGCTACTTTGGGATAGCCCATAGTCTTCCACCCTAGCTGTATTGTACCATACTCTGCTTTATGTATCCATTATTTCCATTGTTGCATATTGAGTCTTTCTAGAGAAATAAAAACGTCTTCTCTGTAAGTTACCTTTCTTGCTGTTATAGCTCATTAAAGCTTTCTGACTCGAATGGACTACAACTATTGCAACACTCTCAGATCTTTCCTGGTACAAACACCCCTTTATGCTAATAGCAAGTTGTATCCAGAACTACTGAAAACCTTGGTGTCTTTCAGGAAGTTCCCTCCTCTGTTATTTACTTCTCACCAATATTTTGTTATATTACTAATGGCTGATTGAACAGTGACTAAAATACATGGAGTTACAATGCTAATATTAATCTCCTTACAATACATACTCTGGACAGAAATCGCTTTAGAAATATTATGTGCTCTTTCACACAATTGGCTCAGACAACTCATTGTCACACTGGATAAAAAATACCAAAGAAATCTGAGTTTTAATTGTTGCAAACCAATTATTTCCTATCCTAGCTTAGATAAGTTTTATCTATGTATCATTTTCTTTTCCTGGAAATTAACTTTTTTAGTAGTAGATTCCATAAAGTTGATACATTTAGAGTAATACAAAAATTACTTGCAATGAAACAGTATATTTCCTTTCCCACAGCCAGAACTAAAAATGTAAAATTCTAATTATTTGTTTAATTAAAGTAAAATAAAGAAGAAAATGTAATTTCTCCTCAATTAAGTCTAGACTAGATTAATTTCTGAACTGCTTGCCTTCCACTCACTGTTTAACCTGGGAACAAACATGTATGCCCATTCTCAAAAGTCTGTTTCCAGTAGATAAAGATTGAAAAGACATTCTGTTCTTTGCCTCCACTGACATATCTGTAGTCCAGGCATAGTTCCTGGTGTTGGCCAGAAGGACAGTTAGTGCAGGCAGGACACCCAGAGTCTCTTTTGCTCCTAATGCTCAGATAACTGTTTCTGTCTGAAGAAAAAGCCTACTGTCATGTATCCATGCCTATCCACATTTCTACAAGTCTTGACAGATGTAAGGACTGTTTTACTTATTTGTTCATTCAAATATGTATATATTGCAACTACTAATGTAAGAAGAAATTATTTACTTTCTACCCCTTTTAGTTTCAATTAACCTAGAAACCAAATGCCCACAGGAATCATCAGTCATAAAATGATCTATGAAACAACCCTAGAATGTCAAATAGGTGGGGGGGGGGGAAAGTTGCCATGAATTTCCAGTGACACCTTCAAGGTTTTTAATGGTTTATGCTTCATTCTTTCTAGAAAATTAAGAACTGGACTTCTAGTGTCATTAACAAAGGAGCAATAGCTTTTCTGTCAAGAACTTTTCATGGTAGTGGTATACATCCACTGTCTTTCCTCCTGAAATAACGACTCCTATATTAAACCTAGATCACAATTTCTGTTGCATCACAACTGAAAGAGCCATCATTAAAATGTTAGTATCATACTGCTGAACAGCTCTTCTGTGGCCTCTAGTGTCATACAATAAATTGAATTGGAATGTAAAAACCTTCATCGCTTGAGATTTATAGCATTTGTAACACGAGCAATTTTTGCAGATCTAAGAGCAGAAAAAAACTTTTCTAGGTTTGGTGTGCTAAACCAGTACTTTAGAAGAAAACATACCAGGCCATCTACACAGCTGCTTCCTAATGTTGCCATGCATTGATTCCATAAACATCAGGATTTTAATAGAGTAGAATATAGCTCTGGTATGAATGACCCTGTAGAAACATATTCAGTCAACTCTAAGGTTTTTTGTTCTATTAAACTTCAAGCTGATCCACACAGCTCTAGCTCTTTTGTCAGTAGCTGTAGCTACTCCAGATTTGCTTGTGAGATCTTTCTAGGATCTGGGCTGTCACATTAATTTTCTTCAGTGATGAGAAAGCTCAAAACTAATCTGCTAAATCTTTACCTGATCAAAGGGTCATTTTGGTTTGAACAAAGCATCATATGCAAGTGAAATGAATCGAATCACGCCAAAGCAATTTGATGGCTTGCAAAGCAATACTTCTTTACCCACCTTATGGAGTAGGCCTTTGGTGATCTGAGTGGTGTATGTGTGCACCATGCTCTCAGTATTCCCTTGGTTTCATAAGGCTACTGTCTGTGGAAATGTGACAGCGCTCAGAATTTAATAGGCAGGCAAAAAGTGTCTGTACCTGGAAGCCAATTTGCTCTTTGAAAACAACCTTGTTGAGGCAGCTATTCTGCTGCTATTCAGAGCACAAGTAAAAGATCTCCTGCTAGTGCAGGTCTTCTCACTTAAAGTGATCAAGAAAGAGTAAATTCTGGGAGCCACCAGTGGCTCTGTCTCATGCAGACCACCTGGAGACAGATTATAAATGTCAGAAGGACTTTAAGGTCTTCTAGTCCACTGTTTGGTGAGAGTATGAGGAAACTTGTTCTTCATTAAGAGGCCACCTCTCTTATTTCTCTTCTTTTTCGGTCTCTCCATCACTAATGCTGAATTATGCCTGCTAGATTGGACTACAAGTATCATCTAGCCTGAAGCTTTCTTCTGCACGAATAGGAAGGAACAATATGTAGCTGAAGTTAATTCAATAGGCAGCTCATCAACTTTAAATCATTGGTATGTGTAATAGTCTGTGGGAACTGCAGAAAAGAGTGGTAACAGGAAGGGAAGGCAATGTAGGAAAGGCCTTCAGGTTTCATCTTTATGGCAAGCAAAAAAAAGAAATCCCCAGTCAGATTGCACATTACTGTATATCTTGTTAACAGCATGCTATAAGAATTTTGATTAGTTGTCAATTTAACCATGAAACTTTAAAACTGGGTATTAAAATAGCTAGAAGAGTGTATGTCTTGGGACTTAGTACCTGACAGTATTCATATCTAATGGAAAACTTGTCGAAATTCCTGTACATTTAGAAACAGTTTCAGATAGAAATCCAAACAGAAATACCTATGAACTTTGGGAGAGTTTGAATCTTCCCAATATTAACTGAGCAGAAGAGGCTCCTTTTGTAATTTATATTGATCATCTTTCAGTGCTTTCCTGCAATCAGATCCTAAACTTTATTGACAGTATCTAATAGATGAACGCTGTTAGTGCCCTTTGAGATGGCTTTAAGTGGAATTAATTTTAAAATTAAAACAGCTAAGAAGCCAATAAAGGTACTCAGCTTTTTTTTTAACACTATCTTTACCCCTTTGTTCCATCCTATTTCTACAGAAAGATAGCCCATCTGTTAAATGATAACAAATCACACTCTGAAGATTGGCTTCCTATTTAATAGAAAATGTTATCAAGCCTGTTAATATTCTACAGCTGAATCATTTTGTTTGCATAGGGGTGCAAGCACTGAATTCCTGAAGGTGATTGCTCTGCTGAGGGGTCTGAGTCAGGATTGAACAAATGAGTCACAGGGAGTTGCCCCTACACCTGCGTCGAGCCAGAGATTTTGGGGGCCTAAGAGGCACAGAAAGGTCTTTCCCTACTTCACTAGCAATCAGTGCGCACAATTTGGCAAAACCAGGTTTCCCCAGCTCCCAAGTTTGCTCATCTTCATTAAGAACTCTGAAAATTTGATGACACTTTCCATAACAGGGATTTTAGTTTAGAATCATAGAATCGTTAGGGTTGGAAAGGACCTTAAGATCATCAAGTTCCAACCCCCTGGCATGGGCAGGGACACCTCACACTAAACCATGGCACCCAAGGCTCTGTCCAACCTGGCCTTGAACACCACCAGGGATGGAGCATTCACAGCTTCCCTGGGCAACCCATTCCAGTGCCTCACCACCCTAACAGGAAATTTCTCCTTGTATCTAATCTAAGATTTCCCTGTTTAAGTTTTAACCCATTACTCCTTGTCCTATCACTACAGTCCCCAATGAAGAGTCCCTCCCCAGCATCCCTATAGGCCCCCTTCAGATATTGGAAGGCTGCTATGAGGTCTCCACGCAGCCTTCTCTTCTCCAGGCTGAACAGCCCCAACTTTTTCAGCCTGTCTTCATACGGGAGGTGCTCCAGTCCCCTGATCATCCTTATGGCCCTTCTCTGGACTTGTTCTAGCAGTTCCATGTCTTTTTATGTTGAGGGCACCAGAACTGCACACAGAACTCAATTTCATGTTACTATCTCATAATCATGCATGATGAAAATGCTTTCACACAGCAATACATTAGCATGAAAGCTCATCATGTGCATACTCCTGCTAAAATTGAGAAAAGTGTCTGAACATCTCACCTAATAAGCACAATTGAGAACAAAAAGCTGAAGGCAGCCGGGCTGCAAAATGTGGTTGGACCAGAGGAAAAGGTTTTGCCAGCGGGGTATTTAAATGTTTCAAATTATGGGAGAAGTAGGGCATATGAACAACCCCTTGAATGCCATCTTTGGAGAACTGAGGAGCCCTTGTGCCAGCACTGAGTCATTTCTATCCTGCCTTTAATTAGCAAATGTAATATGTGGCTTGAATTTTTCCTGTCTGCTGGTTACTGTCTGTTCGTTTTTCTTAGAAAGCTGTGGTTAGGTAAAAAGAGAAGGGTTTTTTTGTGGGTGGCTGCTTTGTCTGAATGTCTAGAGTGAAGTCCTTCTAGGAGAGCTTCCCCTCAAAATTGTACAGCTCTACATGTAACATGTTTTAAGGGAATATAAGCAGAAAGGGAAATCCAAGGGAAATAAGGAACTAGCATCTGGAGCAGGGACTAGACAAGCTCTGAGAGGAATAACAATCTTCTGTAGTTCAAGGATCAAGGAAAGTTGTTAGATTGAGAGCAAGCAAGAAAAGGAGCTACACTTCTGTGAACTAGATATGGAGGGAGATTGCTTGTAAATCTTTTCAGCTTAATGCTTTACTAGAGACACGGCAGGAGTTGCAGCTGGGCACTAATTCTGTATCTACCATTTGGTAACTGTTTCCTGTATGAACAACTGGTTTACATATTTGCACCCCCTGCAAGGATTAAGCCTTTAGCAGGATGGAGATTCTATCTTTGCCTGAGTTATGTTTAGGCATAATCTGCCTAAACAGCAGATTATGAGTAACACTGCTTTATTCTAAAGCACTCTTATGTCCCTTCAGCCAAGATATACCTATATCCA